AAGAGAAGGGCTGTCTCTTAATTATATTTTATCTTCAGCTCTATTCTTCCAAGCCCACCCTGTTAAGCTTTTACACCTCTTTCCTACTCCAACTCTCAATCTTCCCACCTTGATGTGGTTTGGTACTTCAAGTAAATTTTTTTTTTTCCTGGAGGAAAGAGATAGTATTGATTTGCTTAAAACTATGATGGAAAGCATTATCTTAAGGGGTAATTGCTTCTTAATAACAGAACTAAGGATTTATCTATTCCTTAGACTGTCAGCACATCACTAAAGGCTAAAAAGGCTGAGGAGGGAGGTAACATCCCCAATGTCAGTCAGGTCTTTGTTTCCTTATTCTTGTGCTACTGGCTTTGCAAAGTGACCCATTTCCCATAAATGGACATTACGGGTCTACCAAAACAACTTTTACAAAATAAGATTTTGTTTGGATATTTTCACGTAACAGTTATTTACGAAGCTGTTGGGTCTGCTCTGCTGTCGCATCTGCCTTAAATTAAGAAAGGAATCAAAATTCAAATTTTCATTTATACTGGACAAAAAAAACCGGATCTCTTTTATAGGGTAGTTATTTTTCAACTTCAAGTCTACTCCTGTGCCTAAATTAATGGCATGCGCTTTTGTTCTTAAAAAAAAAAAAAAAAAAAAAAAAAAAAAAAAAAAGCCCTCTCTTACAGAGGAAGCACCTAACTCCAAGACTCCTGAGATTTGAAAAATCCCCCCAAAAATGTTAAAATGTCTTGAAATATTGTAACAGCACCTTTATTTCAGAGGCCATCTACTAATTACCCAGCAGCACCTATGGCAAACAGCATAAAAAGGGGAGAAGCGTCTGGGAGGGAGAGCCGACTTTGCAAACTGATGGGAAGGAAGGGGACAACTTTTGGGCTTTGGAAATTAGAGGTCGGCCAAATGATAAAACGACGTCCAGGCAGGAGGAAATCCTCACGTGGGGCTCCCGCCGCCCCAGGGGCCCGGGACGCTGGAGCTCTCGGTGCATTGTCCTCCCCCGGCTGGCAGCCGCGTCCTCCACCCACGCTCCCGGCGGGAGCCGAGCGCCACACGCCCCCGCGGCGCGGACCCCGGCAGCGGGCTCTGGGTGGGTTCTCCGGCACGTCCCCCGGAGAAGGGTGTGGGCCGAGGGCGGCGGAGAGGGACTCGCGGTCCACACTCGCACAGGTTGCCCAGCGTGAGCTGAGTACAGAGAGGGTTAATAAGCTCCCCAGGCATCTGCCACCTCAGCCCCCAAATCGGCTCCTCCGCACCCCCTCGGCCCGCTTTCGATCCCGAGAAACCCTCACGCGACCCCCTCCCCGCCACAACCCGGCGCCTAAAGCTTTTGTTTTGGCCGCGACGAGAATAACGATCCCTGAGGAGGAGGTGCGGGGGCTGCTGGTGGCTCCTCCGCACAGGGTGAGGCAGGGGAGCGGGCAGCGGCGGCGGCGGCGGCACCGGCAC